AAAAATAATGTGATTTTGATGATATGGTATTTATTTTTGCTTTAAAAAACAAAATCATTTATATTGGTGAACACCGCCCCTAAGGGAAAAAAAAAATCGTTTCAACAGAATGGGTATTGGCAAATAGCAACTGCCAATAGCTAATGTATGTGTTTTGTTAAGAATTTCACACGAGGACCTCTTGAAAGATTAGAGACAGGATGGGAAATACTTGTAAAAGATTGAAGACATTAAGGAGTAATGCTAATGTCCTGCATTGTGATATGTTTTGGAGACACATGGATATGAATAAAAGTCAAGATGCACATGGACATGTTAGGATATTCAAATAAATTTCAAAAATATATTAATAACAATAAACATAAGTTGTATATGATTATAGATAAATTATTCACAATTATCAATAAAAGTTATTTACATGTAAAAATCAGTTTTTAATGGTTTATATGAAGTGTGAGATATTAAGACACAATTGGTGATGGTTGAAAAATGGTAGAACTAAATTTTGTATGTATATAACTTAATTTTCAGAAAATCAATCTGATTTGTGTTAATACTTATTAATACATTAATTTTAATAACCAATTTTAGCATTTTTATGGAAAAGCAAAATATATTAAGAAAAACCAAAAGCCAAGAAAGTCTAAATCCAAAAGCTTTGGAGGAACCTGAAAGAATGGTAGGATCCATCGTATGGATACCATAAAGGTTGCGGAATGGGTGGGCGAATTTCAAAAATTTTCTTACATTCTTCCAACTGTGAATCATATTCCCTGAATTTAGAATACAATATTCAAGGATCCTACTTGAACCATAATCGAACCAAATTTGAATCAAAAGACAAGGGATGAATTATACCTGATTCAGAGAAGCAGTATCTCCCAAAGTTGGTGTTCACGCCCAAAGAGGACACCAAGATCCGCTCTTGTTGAAGATGACACAGCAATATGTGGAACGAAACCAGCAGAGTGCGTCCTGCACACTGAATCTTTTACAAGAATCCTCTGGAAACATTGAGCACCGAATCTTTTCAGTTCTTTCTACAAAACTGATATCAAGAACTGATTTCTTGATTTCTTTTCTTCAAAGATCGAATCTTTTCAGAGAATGGCGGCGGCTGGAGGAGAACTCCTGAGATGAAGATGGTGAAGAATGCTTCTCTTCTCTCTGGAGTGTGTATGAGATCCTATCTCAATTCGCAGGATAATTTCTTGCTCAAAAAACCCTAAGTTTGAATTCTGTTGTTTTTCTCTTAGGGTTTTTCCTCTTTTCTTCTTGATTAAGAAATCTCCTAATTATGAGTTATCCCAATCCAAATCAGCATCTGGATAGGGGATGATCTTAATCTTATCTGCAGATTAGGTTAGATAACTCCTGATCTTATCAGGAGATTACCATATTCAAATCTGATTTGAATTTGGTCTCC